GTGAGTGACCGCTATCACCATACAACTGTCGAAAAGTGCTTAGAATGCTAAAAGCAGATTGATTTTTGATTTTTTCCCCCCTACATCTCACTAGTTAAAATACTTCCCTTTTCCGTTTTTACAGGAAAGTAAGTGACTGACCACACATGACCAAACTGGGTAAAAGGTTCTGTTCCCAACAGTGGTTAGGATCCCAGATGAGCTTGGTTAAAACAACTGAACATGTAAAATAAAAATCACCTACAAAGGCGCTGAGCTGGGGCAGCTGCAGGATCTGCGGAAGGCAGGGGGCAGGAGGCAAAGGACCCTTCCCCTTTTCCGGGAGCAGAGCCGTCAGCCACACCCCTTCCAGGTCCCTGCCGGCGGGCGGGCTGGCCGGTGGCCTCCGAGACCCGCACCCCATCCCAGGTGGCCCTGCTGGAAGCCCATGGAGCCTGTGCCCACCTCTAAATGCTTCAAAACCACCTCCCAACTCTGCCCCAGTTTTAAAGGACGTGCTGATTAACCTAAATGCATCTCTCCCGCAGCTTCCAGGGAGAGAACCCAGGGTGACAGGGAGGAAACGCAGGAGTGCCCCCCGCAGCTCCCTGTGCCCACCCAGCACCGAGCCTGGGGAGCCTGGTGGTCCCTACGGGCCGCCCGCTGGGAGGCAATCCCTGCTGAGGCCACCAGCGCCCTGACACAGCCCCATGGCCTCTCCCCTCCCACACAAACCCCACAAGCCTTGCTCAGAACGAGGCAGCGTTGGTGGGCCGGCCGGACCTCGCCCGGTTGGCTTCCTGCGGGCCAGTGACAACCTGTGAGGCGCATGAGCTGGGGGAACCCGGGGCTGCAGGCGGGCGCTGGGAGCAGTCCTGCCCCCTCTCCACCTTCCCGCTGCGAGGCGGGCCCTGCTCGCTCGCTCCCGAGGCCGCGGCACGGACGGGGCAAACCGGCAACAGGAGAGAGGCGGGCGGGAGGGCCGACAAGGCGGGACCAACTGAAGCTTCACTGTGCCTTCCATGCAGTTACTCCTTAGTTTAAGGCAGCAAGGAAAACTCAGTAAAAGCCACTAGTTAACCAAGTGTCCACGCTGTCGCTGTCCGTGCCAGGCTGACCAGGCCCGGTCCCTCGCCAGACGCACAATGGACAGCCTCTGCACACCCACCTACGTGAGCAGACTGCTGGTTTTGTTTTCATCCACACCCAACACACACTGGCTCTTCCTTCCACGTGTGACAGACGCAGAGCAGGCACTGCCGAGGGACGCGGGGTACGCGGCCTCCTCGGCTTCCTCACCGAGAGGCACACTGGCAGCCCAGCCGGCGCCCCGCCCTCTGCGCCCACCTCCCACGGCACAGCACAGTCCGGCCTCTTCCCCATCCTCCCACCTGATCACCGCCGCTGTTTCCGTTGTTCTAAGTTACGGCCACTTTCCTCTGTGAGACTCTGCCTTGCCAATGGCAAAGAGTCATGAACTGCACAGTTTGGGGCGACGGTTTGCCTGTCCCCCTCCCCCAGTGTCTGGACAAGGATAACGATAAAGACAGCTAAAGCCAACACCGAGAAAACAGCGGGCCGCGTGCAGCTGGGACGCAGAGGGCAGGCGGTGCTGTTCCATCCACAGACGCATCCCCAGCTCCTCAGGGCCTAACCCTCCCCACCGCCCTGCCCAACGACACAGGGTTAACGCTGAATCTTGGTTCCTAAAAGTGGAACCAAAGGGGACGGGTCCGAAGGGAATGGGAAGTCCACAAAGAGTTTAGGTGAATTTCCAAACCCTAGCTCCACCGTTCCCACAATTTTGTGACGCTAGAGACCAAAGAGGAATCAGGTTTTCAAGCCTGCCACCTAAGGAAACTGAGAGCCTCGTTTACTACAGAGATTTCAGCCCAAGCGCCAAGCCCCTAGGTGTACAGTTTCAATCGCAGCGCAAGTCAAAATGCAGGGATCCCGGCACACCCCCTGGGCTGGGCGGCACGGACGCCCTCCGTCCACCACGCACCCCACTCTCGCCCCGTCCTCCCCGCCTGGTCCACTGAATACATCAGGTCTCCAAATGCAGGGTTTTTTCATCTGTGGTTATTATCTCTAAAGAAATAACCCTCCACCTCACTAGAGGAATGCTTCTGGCACAAGAAAAGGCCAGGGTGTGAACACCCGACTTCAGCGAAAAACAAAGCCACAGCGCTGGCCGGCAGGCCCGTTCGGTTGGCGCTCCATCCCCAGACACCACGGCTGCGGTTCGATCCTTGGTCAAGGCACAGCAAGAATCAGCCAGTGAGCGCGTGGACGGGTGGAGCAACAGGTTGAGGTCCTCTAAAAATTAGTAAACTGAAAAAATGTCTTTAATAAAAAACAGAGCCCAGCACCACCACAGCCCCTGACGCCAGGGAGGCAGCCCAACCGTGCCAGGGACGCTGCGTCGCTCCAGTGCCGCCGCTGAGCAGGGTTCGCAGGCCATACCTGGGACTCAGGCAGCCTGGACCTGAGGGCCAGCCCTGCCTCTGTCACCCCCTTGTCCCCAACTCTCATCAAACCCTCGTTCATCACCTGCAGAGCCAGGAGCCCTGAGGATTCCTGCCCTGCACAGGCAGTGGGGGAGAAGTGGGTGCGGCGCAGGAGGCCCCGCCCAGCTCCCACACCTGCAAATGCTGACTATTAGCTCTCTCGTCACCAGGAAAACACAATGGCCTGGTGTCTTTAGTCCATCATGTTCCCCAAAAAGAGGGTTTTATTTTCTCCTGTAAAAGTATCAATGAAATGTAAGATAAGCAGGGCAATCCAGTTCAAGTCCAGCTCAGACATCAACTCACTGGCAACTTGGAGGGAATCACGTCACCTCCGAGTCTTCACCTATACAACGGGAATGACACAGGTCCCCTCCCCACCCAGGTCAGGGGCACACCTGAACCTACTGCTCGGCCCCCACCCCCACCCCAGGCCACCGCCCAGACGCCGAGCCTACGCAGGAGGAATTAGGGAAGCTTAGGGTTCCACTCGGGCATGTCACACCAACACCCAAGTTCCTCGCCCACGGGACTGCTCAAGAGACCCAGGCCAGGGTGGGTTTTGACCATGCAGCTTCCTGCCCGGGGCGGGGTAAGACCTCTTGCCCTTGGGTGCGCGCTGTCCTCTCTGGAACAGCGCAACACGCAAGCCACCAGGAAGAGCTCGGTTTCTCCTTGCTGGATTTTTGCTTCTGGGTCCAGAGGTTTGAACTTCATTTATAGCCTACCATAAAAGCTCCGGCACAGAGCTACAGGTTGGGACGGGAACAAGGCTGCGGGGGGCTCACTTCAGGAGGGAGCATGTCATCCTATGGCACCCGACTCGTCACCCACAAGCCCCTGGAGAGGAGAGACAAAACGCACTCGCGTTCACTAAGCGGCCGCCCTCCCCAGGCAGGGCCCGGAGCGCTGTACGCACATTGCCCCACAGCCCATTTTCTCTGCCACGCTTAGAAACAGCCCTCGCTGGGTGGGAAGCGTACCAGGTGGGGGAAAACATCACAATCTGCTCATCAAGTCCTGGACATTTCAAAGTGAGCGCTGTGAACACCAGGAGTCTTGGCCAGAAGCAGGGTTCAGGTTCCTCAAGGTCCTTTGCAAGGGGAACTCCCAAACTATGCTTCCCCTGTAATTCTGGAATTAACTCAGGCTATTTAATAAACTATCAGAAAAGTTCTAAAAATTTTAAACCGTGATGCACAAGAAGAATTCAGTGCAGGGGTAAAACCACCTGAGCCAGACTTCTCATGCAAGTATGTGTGACAATCGAATACCGGAATTTTTAGGATCCTGTGGACGGCCCTTGACAGACGTGCTCAGAGAAGGCAGCCCCAGCACCTGTGTGGCCAGGTAATGAGAGGGCAGAGCCTGCCTGGGGGCAGCAACAGTTCCCTGTGAGACGCCTCTCCTTCTACAAAACCCAACTCCTCAGCCCTGCCGGGCAAGTTGTCATCCTAAAGGACCCTCTACGCCCGCACAGGGTCAGTTGGGACCAAACACGCACTGGCGTTCTGCTATTTAAACGCCATCCTCTTCACCCACATGCCACTAAAAAAAAAAAAAAAAAAAAAAAAAAAAATTCACAAGCCTTAAAAAAAGACGCTGTTTACAATTCACCTGCATTCCTCTGCATGAACGCACTTGGTGCAAACCGTAATTAACGTCTGCGTTAAACACCAACGTGAAAGGACATAAACGTGGTTTGTATTCGTGGAAAGGGTCCCCGACTTAGGGCTGTGTAGACACAGCAGACGAGACGGAGGGCCATTCCCTGGTCCACCGCGGAGAGGTCGAGGCCCTGCCCGGCGCCCCGCAGCTCGGCCGCCGCCGCGCGGGGTCCTGGCGCGCCCCGGGGCCTCTGACCGGTTGCGCGGCTCCTCCAGGTGACGGTCCCCGCAGGAATTCCCAGGGGGCCGCGCAGACCTCCGAGGCGGTTGAGGGCGGGGAGGGGGAGGGGAGGCTCCTAGATAGCGAGCGTGTGGCTGCCGTCGCCTCTCCCGGTGCGCCACTATCACAACAAAAGGACAGGAAACGGGACTGGAGGGTGCTGTCCTGGCCACCTGCCACGCAGACCCCAGAGCGCACGCAGCCCCGCCGGACTGCAGACCAGGGCGCTCAGGGCAGGATTCAGCAACGCCCGGAGGCCGGGCAGGCCGAGCGGGCAGCGGGCGGCAATCAGGCCCCACCCGCCCCCGGCCTCCTGCCCCCGCACCCAACGCCTCCCAGACCCTCCATCCGCGCCCCGCTTCACTCCCACCAGGCACCAAGACCTCCCCGGACTCGGAGCCTGCCGGCCTCCACCTCCGAGGGTCAAGGGCAGGGGTCGGGGGACGGCTCCCGCCGAAGAAGGGCTGGAAGAGCCGCCAGAAGGCGGCGCCATCCCCGGCGAGCCCCGCGCCCGCGGGCGGCCGGGGCGCAGCGCCACGGCCACACGTCGGGTGGCGGGGGTCACCCGCCTCAAGCGCCTGTCGGCGTCCGCCGAAATCCGGAGCTCTGGCCGGCGGTCCTCACCTGCGCCTCATGCTGCTGTGTCCCCCGGCGCGGCGTTCCCCGCCGCCCGGCCCCAGCCCCGTGCTCCACAGCCCCGGGCGCGGGCGACTGCACCCAGCGCGCAGCCGAGTGCGCCGCGCGGCCGCCGGCGGGGCGGACACATGGAAGGGCGGGGGCTGCGGCCCTGCAGCTCGACCACGGGGCCGCAGCCTCGGGGGTGGCAGCGCTAAGTGCACCTCGGGCGCTTCCGCGTGGCTCCCCGCCTCCGGGAGCTGTTGCTACCTACGGGCTCCGGCGGCGCGGAGTGCCACGGTGCCAGGCAAAGATAAAGAAAGGCGCAGTTGCCAGGCTCTTACTCTTCCTCCCTCCCCCGCACGGTCCTCATGGTACATTCCTCAAAGCCCGCCCCGGCGCCAGAGGGAGCAGTGGATTGGTTGGGAATCTTGGAAGGGGACGAGGAGCCGCACAAAATGGCCAATGGGAAGGCGCGGTGGGCTCATCAAAGCCTGCCAACCGGGGACCCGAGAGGATGCGCTTAAAGGGGACTCGCTCGCGGCTCGCCGCCGCCCCACAACAAAACGGGAATTCTCTTCCTGATCCTACCCGAACGGGAAACAAAGAGACTAGGGCAATCCTGAAATGCTTGGATTAGAGGCTTTGGGTGGGTTACTCCATTCTCTCAGCCTCAGTTTCCTCCTCTAATACAGGGAGCACCTTAGACAAGAACTGATCTCTGAGGGTCCTCTTTCGTGGCCCTACGGTCCTTTGTATGGGCTCAACAGTGTTTATTCCCCAATATTCAGTCTCCGATTTGGGGCATGCTCCACCATCCTCAATACCTGGTTAGAAGTTGGTAGACTTTCTAACTCCAAGTCCTTTACACAGACAGTATCAACCACCCCTGCTATAAAGACGAATTAAATATTATTTCTGGGTCCCTGCTCTCCTGGAACAGGGCATTTTTCTTATTCTCATATGCAGAGAGCCCCCCAGCCCCCGAATATCTCAGAATTTCTACTCTTCCAACAGTCACCTCTTTCTCTTCTCGCTTCCGCCAGACGATTAGACCAAAGTGCAGTTAATATGCATTTCCCTTTGAACGGCGTCCTCCTTGGAGCTGGTAAAGGGCTCCCGTCCCTCCGAAGCCTGTGCAGGCCGTGGGTGTGCACAGCCGGGATGCTTCCGAAGCCCCGCTGCCAAGGTCAAGACTTTGAAAGCAGCCCTCGGGGCCTGGTCTGCTCTGTTGTAGAGCTTTCTATCTGCGGGCAGGCCTACATTTTGGCTACCAAGCTTCTTTTTTTTCAGAGCTTTTCAACTTCCCATCAATCTGGTAACCCTACACCCACTCAACCTTCTTCCAAATTTTATCAGGTGTTTGGATACAGTTTCCACTCCCCAGACAGACAACTAATCTTCTGTTACTCAAAGAGCTCCTGGAAGTTCAGCTCCTTCATGAAGCCTTCCTGGATTGATCCACGGAAGCTGCTAATTTACAGAGCTCCCATTTCTACTCTGTGCCCCCATAACCCTGGTTTTGGGCCCCAGTATGCAATTCTTATGGACATATTTACCTTTCTCATTCTTTTACAGCAGCAGCTTACACTTATTGATGATTACTACAAGGAGGCACTACCAAAAAATGGAATTTACTTCTCAAGAAAACATATTTATTCTTACGCGTTTAAACTTCAGTAACCTTCAAATGCGATACACCTATTAAGCTCAAAACAGTTTTTGAACTTGTTGGTTTTGATGCCTTTTAGTCCTTCCGCCATTTTTTGTTTCACCTCTTCCACATTGGCCAAATATTTCCCTTCGAGGACTTTTTTCACCCTTGGAAACAAACAAACAAAAAAGTCTCTGGGGACAGATCAGGTGAAGAGGGAGGGTAGGACACAGAGATCATACCATTTTGGGTCAAAAACTGCTGAACACGCAGCGCCCTGTGGGCAGCTGTGCTCATGAATCACCCGTCATGAAATGCGCAAATGCGTTGAAAGAGTCTTCGAAAAAATTCCACTAAGCCCAACGCAGCCTCTCACAACAACGCCAGCTGGTGCGCTGGCACTGATGGTTCCTAGAACACGCCCCCCGCGGGGGAGGCCTGGACGACACGGGGTCCGCCCTCCGGAAGATAATTCTGGTTTTTGGGGGGTCCCCCCTCATATGTGCTCGGTACTATTTAGAAGCGCTTTGCATGTGTTATTTCGTTTCACCTTCACGTCAGCTCTGTGAAGTGTGGTCACTCTCCCCGTCCGCAGAAGGAGGAGGGGCGCGCAGGAGCTGGCTTGCCCACCCGCGCCACCCACAGTGCCATTCTATTTCCCGTTTCTCAGGAGCCTACTGCATTCCGTACAAGAGAGAACGTCATACACACGCAACATGTTTTACACTTGTGTCTGGAGCTGTAATGACGTTCCAGCTTCAAAACAGTCACGTGAGGAAGGTTGGGCGCCGTGCGCAGGCGAGGGAGGGGGCTGCAGCTCCGCCGGTAGCGGGTGCGAGGCTGGCGCACAAGGGAGCTGCGCGCTTTCCCCGCTGAATCCCTGCTCCCTGCGCGAGCGCAGCCTTGTCCGTGTGACACGCAGAGGACGGTGATGGCAACAGGAAACAAACACGATACAGTGAACCCCACGCCTGCCTTCCAGGGAGTGGGGGACAACGGGTGCTTGCAGGGGGTGGAACCCGAGTCAAGAAAGCCTCCTGCAGAGGAGGAGGACTGTGTTTCTTTTTATTGGTGTGTTGTTCCTGTTCTGTTAGTGAGCTTAGGCCTTTGACACATCTGGCAAGTTCCATGGCAAAGGGCAAGGAACACTGTCCCCTCTGCCTAGAGGTAGAAGCAGCCCCATGCCTGTGAGGGAGGCACTCTGTGCAGCTCTAAGGCCCACCAATTCAGGTGAGTTTCCGACTTGCTGTTTAGTAAAATACCCTGCTCCACAGCCCGTGAAATAGAAGGTGGGCTAATGATTTCATTTTTTAAAAACTGTTGAAATCCTCTCGGGGGTGGGCACCCTAGCGGAGTACGAAGTGTGGGAGCCAGCGAGCTTTTGAGATCGAAGAAGAGGCCTGGGCACAGTGTCCTGAAGCCAATACTCCTGAGCTGCTCTTGGTCTGGCCCGGCCCCTCCCTCTCTCGTCTCCTTGTCCCCAGAGAGCCCTAAAACGTCTCTGCTAATCTGAGTGCTTTATTTATGCATCCAGGCGTCTACTGGGCACCTACTATCAACAGAGAACTGTCAGGTGGCCTGGGGCCATCCTGATGGATCACTGCCCAGCCTGTACCTGCTACGTGAAGGAGGGTGACAGACATCAGACTCACCTGGGGTGGAGAGACTGGCCCCTCGGAAGGTGTGGGACAGGAGCCCAGGCCATCAACATGCACGCTCCTGGCCCAGAGCAGGAGGAGGAGCTGAGCCGTGGGAGAGGGCGGGGTGGGGAGAAGGGTGGAGCGATGGAGGGTACCCCGAAATAACTGGGCATGTACCAGACAGCAGAGAAAATAATCTCAATCCCTCATTTGGTCATTAGAAGAACTGTGGTGTGTTTTGTCTTATTTTTTAAGAAAAAAAAACCTGATCTCAAAAGTAATATATGCTCATTGTTAAAAATGTTATAGAAATACAAAAAATAAATAAAAATTATCCATTATCCTTCCCAGCATATCACTGTTACTACGTTGATGTATTTTTTCCTGTATTTTCTTTGTGTTTGTATTTTTTGTTTTGTATCTACCTTTTTAACAAAATTTGATCAAATAGCTTTGCAATCTACTTTCTTCTTAACAACAGACTAGGTATTTTCCCATGGCAATATAGTATATTATACTAAAACATGATTTTAAATGGGTGCATCATATGGCTAAATCTTAAGTTATTTAAACAAGATCATTTTTAGTCATTATTCCCAATTTTTCACTATTATGTGTAACTTCAAGGATGATCCATATACTGTATATGTTTATAATTATTTCTTAATATTTCTAGAAGTAGACTTGCTTGATCAAAGGGCATATACATTTTTTAAATGCCTCAGATATGTTTCCAAACTGTCTTTTAGGAGGCTCACGCCATGCACACTCCCCCTAGCAAGGCATGGCGGGGCTGTTTCTCCGAACTCTCAGCAATCTTGGGCATTTCTTTGCTTTTGTAATCCTTGCCAATTTGACAGATGAAAAACATCTTGTTATTTTAATTATTATAGTGTATGTTTCCCTTTTCCTACACTCACCCACTCTTCTCCCAAATCCCTGAAAAACGATACAGAAATCAGAGTAGAATCTGCTCACGTGTTCAACGGTCAGACAAACTCTGTGTCACTTCACCTGAACCAATAAGAAAGGTAGTGGAACAGAGGGGCTCGGACAACACACAATCTGCACAACTCTGAGGCGGGTAACAAACGCTCACGTGAAAAGTGTTCCAGCTGCAGAAGGAGATTAGCCACCCGAGCCACCTGAGCACCGGCTAACACTGAAATCAGTTGCATTTCCTCAACAACGCCCAACTCTCTGATGCAGACAAGCCCCAGGCAGACCAGGCTGGCATAGCGAATGGCCCATCCGCTCAATGTTTCTCTCTACTCCTGCCTGGCTTTTTCGTCCCTTGGCTCTATCTTTGTTCTGCGATCACCTCCATGGGGTCTCCTCCTCTCTAGCCATCAGTGGCCTGCTGGGTTTCCCATCGAAGATTTTACCCCTGCCCTTTCTCAGTGTGGTTGGTTCGGATGGATCGCAACCCCTCCTGGGCCTGGAGGTGGGATGCAGGTGTTTCTGGGAGCTATGGGAGCCCTGTTGGGCCACGAGGTACAGGCTGCCTGAAAGAGCGGCCAACCTGGAAGAGCAGAGCTGAGAACTGCAGAGAGGGAAGGTTGGGTCTGGTCACATCTGTGAGCCCTGAATCGAGGAGCCTCATGAGAGGCTGTGAAACAACGAGTTCCCTTTTTTTTTATTTTTTAAAATTTTTCAAATTTATTTATTTATTTTTTATTTTCAGAGAGAGAAACATCAGCTTGTCATTTCACCCATCTGTGTACTCGCTGGTCGATTCTTATCTGTGCCTCGACCAGGGATCGAACCTGCAACCTTGGCACGTGTCTCAGGACAATGCTCTAACCAACCGGGCTACCCAGCCAGGAGTTTTTTGTTTGTTT